GGCTTTTGGCATAGATGCTTTCAGCCAGAATTGGATGGGTTTTCATCTTTACATGTTCCATCCAATTCTTCTGTTATCCGAGGTTCTTGCACTGATTCAGCCTTAGTTTTCACTCATTCAGTATCTTCAGGAGTGCTAACCTTTTCTGCTTCCTATCTGGCCATCCATCTTGCATCAGCCTTGGTCCGACATTCTTCATCTTGTGATCAGCATTCTGCGGCTTCACACAAGGCTTTTATGCAGCCTGTTGCACTATGTCCGAAATTAACCTCTCTTGTGGCATCTTTATTAACGTGATCCATTTGGCATTCTTCATTGGACATTTATCAATGGAAATGATTTACTTATCATCAGTTGTCTCTCAGACATGGTTTTAATCCTCATCCCACTGTGCTGAATGTTTCTTGATTTCTGAAATGGTTATTTGGTTTGGTGCCTTTGTCTGTGTCTCTCTATATAAGGCAGCTATGTCAGCTACTTTTCAGTTTTATGGAAGACATCAAGTTTTTGAGTCCCAGGTTTTGTCTTTGCTTCTGAAATCTTTTCAGGTTATCTGTCCTCAACATCCTTTCCAGGTTTCTATTTGGGATATATCAGTGGTTCTCCATGCCTTATCTTGTCCACTCTTTGAACTTTTGGCAACATGTTCCCAATACCACCTTTCACTTAAGACTTATTTTCTTCTCTTGTTGCCTAGTGGACCTTGACGTTCAGATGTGTTTGTAATTCATATTCACAGGACTCTTTACCATTCCACTTATGTTCTGTTATATCTTGATAGAGCCTTTCTTCCCAAAACGTAGTAGATAGTGAAGGGGATAAGGCTTTCCTTCGTATTCATCTTCCACAGTCTTTTATGCCTGTTTCCAGCTATTAAATGTTATGTTGCACACACTGATGGGTTTTGTGGTTCATGTCACTGTTTGTTTATCATTGGGATCCTAAGATGTCATCTGACTTATCCCTTGTCACTATGGGTGGTTTGGTTCATCAATTGGTGCATATTACTTACACTGGGCTTTCATAGGAGGAATAGAGACTTCTTCAAGTTTCACCTCATCAAATTCGCTATATCTTGATGTCTCTGGGGGTTCAGTTGTGTTACTCACTGGAGAAGATTGTACAGGCTGGCATGTGAACCAGGTCTAATACATTTATATATCATTATTTACATAAATTTGGTAGTTACCTCCTCACAAGGTTTTTGGCTACCCCCTGTGGCTTTCTCCACACCCCAGCTCGTTTGTAAGAGAGGTGACTTTATTTCTTTTATGTTTATTTCTATCTTTTTCAGGGACCCTCTCATCCTTTTCGTTTGGATCCCACCCTGTGGCATGTGTTATCTTGTCAAGTATGCTTATTTCCAAATCCGTATTAGCTGCCAGTCGGCCAGTCTCTGTTGAGATGGGGTATTCCATAAGACCACCTTGTGAGCTTTCTGGGTGGTAAACAATTATAAAACTATGAACAATACACTACTGGACCGTCACTCATGGACTATCAAGCGTAATGCTTAAAGGGATTTTTGCCCATTCCTGCTGATTCCTGGATTGAATAAATCAGGGTCAGCTTGCTTTTCATAATAGTGAAGGTGGTTTACCTATTGCACAATCTCAGGAGCGTTATTCCTCGGGGCTCCCCAATGTGAGTATCCCCCCCCCCATTTCTCCTAGTGTGGGAGTCCTTACAACTCCCTGTTTCCAGTTGCTGGAGTGTTGGACACAGGTGTATTCCTCCTGAGTGATGCTTGAACTCTTTATTGCACTCAAGGAAAAGAGTGCAAAGCTGGGTGCCCTCCTACCAATAAGCCTGGATGATCTACCCAGATATATGGTAGGAGCATGGCCAGCCTACACAGGAGTCTCCTCATAATTCTGGTTCAGATCTGCTAATTTGGAATGTCTTGAAAAATGAATAGGAAGTAATGATGGGGAGCTTATATATGGATCTGGGATAGGAGGCAGCATTGACGTAGGTAGAGAGAATCACAAGATTTAACTTGCTATAGACAATATAATGGAGTATAAAGGCTGGAGCAAACGAAGGAAAATTCATACCAATGCTTAGATGGAGAAACTTTCAGTGGGATAAAGCTAAAGTGTTAGATAAGGTAAGTATTAACGGACATACAATTTCAGTATAGGAAAATGTTAACATGTGTTATTATGTTCTGTAGGATAACTGAAAGTAAAAAACAACAACAAAATATTAAGTAAAAATAATTTCTATATTGTTGTTTATGATTACTAGCTGAGGGTACCCATTACAGAAAACAAACAGTATAAAGGACAATGTTGAATAATGTTCCCCTTCCTTTTTTCTTTTGTTATTAAATCCCATTAGATGCTAATTCCATACCCATGACTCATTTAACTAATTAAGTACTTTTGTCTTTAAATTCAAAGCCAAAGGTCAATAAGAAAGTGGAAATGTGCCCTAGTAAAAGACCTCCTTTTACATTCCCATTCTTAAACAAAAAATCCTAAAACATGATAGCCCATGTATACCATCAGACAGCTTCCAGTGACCACACAAAAAATTATGGTAATCAAGCCAGCTGACTCTAGATGATGCAAACCAAAAGACTATCAAAAAAAGCAGAAATATGCTCTATTTCAAAGGCATTTTTTATTCTCATTTTTAGGCAAATGCAGAGATGTAGTTATAATACAGATAGTCTACAAGTTAACTGAAAATTATAATGGGTGCCTTTGCAGAAAAAGCATTGTTATGAACATCCATTTAGTTAACTGGCTATTAAAATGGTGGAGATGAAAAATAAATATGACTGTCACTAGGAAAAACTATGGACACCAATCACTGGTGAAAGACTGAAAAAAGATAAAGATGAATAGACTTGTAAAGTGCAAAAGATAGCATATTTTGTTGCAATTATTGACTCCTTCAGTAGTGATCAGGATCCTCAACAGTACCCGAGAAAAATATTACAAAACTTTCAAAAGCAGCTGAAAACCACTCTCAGTGGTGCTTCAGAGTTGTGGTCCACATATGATATGATCTGTATTGTGTTTCACCATTTTTGTATCGGTAATAAAAAATGGAGAAAATGAAATGTGGCATTCAACTCTAATAGTAAGACATGTCTGCCCAACAGTAGCTTCAGTTATCTTCCTTGGTCAGCACAATTATTGGATCTCAATTCAACTAGATGGCATCTTGTAGTGACGTGTGCAAAATTTGATCTTCTGAAGTTGCAGTGGGTAAACCTTACAATAGTGAAAATACTGTTATTTCTTGTAAACTGTGTAATTCATGCTTTCCATTTGTTAAAATTGTTAAATTGATCAATGCCGGATATCCACCTTGTATGACCATAACTTTATTAAGTATGATTAGATGTTAGCAAAGACTCTCTTGCCACTTTAAAGATACAGGTAATCTTTGGACTTACAAAATAAATATTTAGAACTTAAGGTGCTTGTTCAGCATCAAGTTGTGATCACAAAGCTAAATACTTTAATATATGTTTTCAGGATAACAACTCTCATTACATTTGTAAATGACTAGGTAGGACTAAATGTAATTTAAAGATGATAACATATTTATAACAACACAGGTTCTTGTGTTACCAATTCTACTGGTATTGCAAATATTTTTAATGATTACTTTGCTAGGTAGGGTGTTACTCCTACTAACATTAAGTGTCAAGATAAGCCTATAGCTCAGACTATTTATATTGCAGCCATAACTGTCACTGAAACTCATGCTGCTATAAAGGCACTTACTAGTTCTTCTTCTGATGGATGGGATGATGTTCTATCATCAGTGGTTAAATCTGCTAGTGATCCAATTATTGAACCCTTTACTGTACTTGTTAATAAAGTACGTAGAATTGGTAAATTTTCTGAGATTCTTCACACTGATAAGATTGTTTCCATCTACAAGGGTGAGGATCCTGATCATGTGGAAAATTATCGGCCTATTTCCATCTTATCTAAATTCACTTATTGTGTTTTTACGAAAAAAATAAGATTTTAAGTTGGTTTCACTAAACACAAATCTACTGAAAAGTGTTTATTGCCTATTACTACAAAGCTTATTAAGGCTTATGAGGCTAAGAAATTTGTTTAATTCTGTGCTCTTGATATTGGCAAGGCATTTGATAGCATTAATCACAGTTTTACTTTATAAATGTGCTTATTATGGTGTATGTGGTAATATTTATAATATTCTTAAAACATACTTACTAAATAGGCAATGTTATATCTCAGTTAATGGTATGAAGCCTCATTTCTCTAGTCTCCATTGTGGGGTTCCTCAAGATTCAATCCTTAGCCCCCTTTTATATATCATTTATGTTAATGATTTAATTTAGGTATGTTTAAAAGATGTATACAGTCTGTACACTGACGATACAACTCTTACTATAGAGGATTCTCTTGCTGACTGTTTCAAAATAGTGAACAATGAGTTGCTTTCAATTGATACCTGGCTTGCTGACAACTGCCTAGTTTTAAACATCTACAAGTGTTTGGGGCTCACATTTTAATGTGTTATGACCAATATGGTTGTTACAAAATAGGGTCTTGAGGCTGATGATAGGCCTTTCTTGTAGAGCATTATTTTCAAACAAATTTTAGGGAAATGGACTTCCTATTTATCAGGCCTGTGTTTACCACTTCACTTGTGTTGCAAGAGATATTACAATATTTAATCCTGAATGAACTTGTTAATCCCTCACGAGGTAGTTGATATTTTTTTAATCATAGAAATATCTATTACTGTCCAAGAAGCACTTCGATTTTGAGTTTTAAATTTTTCATTATTTGGCTCTAGTGATTTTAAATCCATTAAACTTTGATGACTAGTCTACTTCTAGTATTAAGTTAGTTAAAATAAAAATGTGTAAATAGTTTTCCTTTTATATTTACTTATCTTTCATGACATTAACTTATTAATTAGAAAAAAACATGAAAAATATTTAGTTTTCTTCAAGTTTAAAATATTACTAATTTTATGTTATAGACTTTAACACAAACCTCTTAGTTCTGAACTGCCATTGTTTGTAATCAATGGATCTCTAAAGTCCTGATGATATTCTCCATATTCATCCTCAATCTAGTAAAAAAAACAAAAAATGTCTGCTACTATTATTTGTAGTTAGGTTGATAACAAAGTCAGAAATTCTTATTTTTATTTCTTAAATATAAAAAGAATATAAATTATGCTTTTTTTCATTCTTGAATGACTAAAAATTATAACATAAAAACATAAATGTTTAGACCAAATAGCTTAAATCTCATAACATTATATATATATTTATTATTATTCTTATACTGTCCTTTCATCTGTGCCTGGCTAGTAATACAGAAATTACAATGATGCAGCACACGTGCACTCATGTTACTATATCCAATTATAAAAAACTGACCTTCTCTTTACAAAGTGACCTGTCTTGGCTGTGTTTTAGTGGACTAGTATTTTGTAAAATGAAGTCACATTTCAATTATTATACATTATATATGTATATAGATTGTTACTATTTACAAACAAGTTCTCATACTTATTTTTCTTAAAACATAAAACAGTAAATAAAGAAGTAAAGCAAACAATTATCTCTTCCAGTTACAACCTTTGCACTTGATTGCCACTTGCCGTAGCTTGCTAAGCTTTAAGAAATTTTGCACATGGCGGATGTGAAATGAAATAATTCTATGTTTTATACATACATTTGAATAACCAAAAAATCATAAATACCACAGAATTTCATTATAATTTATCAACTTTAGTAACTAAGCTGTATTTGGGTCTAAAAAATATTAAATTTTGAACAGGCTAAAGACTCAACTTACCAGCACAAAGGTTTGTCTCAAAAGAAAGAGATGATGCCATTATACTTGAAAATGGCTGAGAAAGCCACTCGGGGGCATTCTGAGCTTTTGATTGGTTATTCACACGTCACATATAGAAGTAAGTGTATATAAGGGACTGTTTCCAAAAATGGAAAGAGGTGAGCGGGGGTGGCCACTGTGTTTGATTCAGCACATGAGCAATATCTCAGCATATAGAAAAAAGAGGAGGTTCTTATTTTATATTCTAGCTTGTCAATATCGGTAATTTGAGTTCCTGATTCATACAAAACTATGGACTTTGTATTTTGACATGACAAACATCTAATTTGAACCAGTGCTGCATTCAACATACCACTGAACACATGATTGAAAACAAATGCATTGTATATGAAAAATTCAAATTAAATTTGTAATCTTAAAGAATAAAACTGCTAATAAAATTTTGGTTTATATTATGCCCAGCAAGGCCTATCCAGTCTTAACCTAAGGTAAGTGGAACTTTAACTTTCATTATTATTCTTTGGTATAATTGCACTAAAAAATTAATAATCTATTTTGAACCTCCATGAATTTTATGTGGATAATAATCTAATTTTCAGTCCCTATCTGTATAGTATTTCAAATGAATTTATATTAACTGAATTTTCACTAAGCAATCAAAGAATTACTTATATATTCACAGATCACTTTATTTCAATCAGTGTTGCTGATATATATAGTGACTACAACCCTAAAATATTATTTATTGTTTGTCTTGCTGTGTATAGATTTTCTTTAAATTGGTGAAAATGGAAATTTAATACCTAGAATAAAATGACATAAATTTCACATTAGAAATAAGTGTTTTAGACAGACAAGGCAGATCAAAAAAGCACTAGAAGGTTCCAGGGGCACCTGCAACCTTTTAAGCCTAATTAAGAACTTAACGACCTCTATTCTCCAGTTAACTGACACATATGTAATAGACACTAACCCACAAAAATGCTTAAAATTGCAAGGGAGCTTTTCAAAATATATCCCATAATTCCTCAAATGAACAAGACTGCTGATAGAGTAAAAAGGTTATGAAACTGATTTCTTATTATATGAGCCATTGCTTTCTGAATAAAGTGTTTATAAAATTAGAGTATTTCAACATTGTTTACTCTGTTATAAAAAAAAGCATCCCCCCTTCCCTCTCATTCTTTCAACAAGTTTATGACAAAAACAGGGAAGTCTTAGCTTGATGTTAAATAGAATAAAGACATCAGAAATTTCAGAGAACTCTAATCATAGTTTTCATTATTATTAAATCTCCTCACAAGTTTATATTATATGCTTGGAAAGAAATTGTGAAAAGAAAACCATTATTCCCTGAAATGAAGTCACTTAAAGTGTACCAACACGAATCTGCTTCATTTCTAAAGGTTTCAGCTGTTCCATCTGTACTTCTAGTAACTCCTGTTGATGTTTTACTTTTTTCTTCAGTTTCTTCTTCTTATTTTTTGACATTGAACTGGGATCTAGCCCTTGGAAACTCCTGGAGGCTGTACTTACTAAAATAAATTTCCAACTAATGAGTTAAGTTTAGTTTCATATATGAGCTAGAAATATCTAGTTTTATGTTCTTTCCAATAACATTGATATTGTATGCAAGTAGAAGACTAAAAAACAAAATTATTTCAGACAAAGGATCAATTTAGTAAAAAGTATGAGGAACATTATATTACCAAACACACTCTTAAGGATGCATTATCACAGGAGACACTTCTGTTTCACCACATCTAACAGCTTATTGGCATTTCAAACAATATGATCTCTAATTCCCTCTAGACATCACGTTCTGAAGTTTTGCTAATGTAACACACCTTTGAGGATGTCTTGTTACTTTGTCATATCATACAGCTTCAGAAGTAACATGTTGAAAGACTAATGCTAAACAAATACTTTTGCATCACATAAAGTGTGTATAACACTCAAGTTTACATTGAATCTTCTAATGATGAAAAAATAATATTAGTTCTTTTGATAAAAGCTTAAATAAGTGTAACTAATTCAAAATAACATACCATGTTTTTATGAATTAAGAAATCTCAGAGAAATAAATCAAACAATTAAAGAGAATTGTACAATAGTTTCATAAAAAAAATAATGTAGTAAAAATAACAAGTACATAATTTTCACAGAAATAATTAATTTGTCTTAAGTAAACTTGGAAGCTTTAAAAAATAAAGCTTAAGGAACAGAAAAAGAGTAAATTTTTTCACTATTTATGTATAACAAATTGGCTACTACAGAAACTTCTTGCCTAATGAGCCAGGAAGCCTCACACCCATCTTCTGCCACTGAGTTGCTTCGTAAGCTAGTTTTCTCACATAGGATTCATCTACTGTAAGTAATATATTTTCAGGTTTGATATCCGTGTGAATGATTTTACATTTGGTATGAAGATAATCAAGTCCCTCTAGTACCTGTGTCAAAAAATAAATAAATAAAAATATTAAATACACTCTACTATTGATATTATAAAAAAAAAAGAGGAACTCCCACACAAAATCAAAGATAAAGGGCAATTATTTATTTGCATTTGCTGCTGAGTTAGTTATGATTCCCGTTAAATATTTCATGTGCCCTTGCTACTGTACAGTTTTCTCAATGAACTTACTTTCAATGCCCAAGTTATACTTAGCCAAATTTCTTCTTTGTATATACAAAATGTTATCAAATAAAACAAAACAAATACAAGAATCAGGATAAACTAAATTCAATTATAGACAGAGAGAGAGTGGGAAAATACTAAATAGTTTATCATCCTAAAGGGTTTGCACACATACTCACTAAAGAAAGATTACATGTGCAAGTCAGAAAATTTAAAGAACTTTGCTTGGAAATTATTGAGATATATATTTCTGTAAAAATTCATATTTTTCTGTGCACCATAACCTTCAATTCCTCCAAAACAACAGCAACAAAGAATATGTAAAGGCCCAGATTGAAACTGAAGAACAAAATTTGGCACCTGCCATAAACTGTCACCACTAAATGGAAGGGAGCCAAGAAAAGTCAGGAAAAGAAATAGCAAAGATATAGAATCAACTGAGCACAAATTAAGAAAAGACACTGACTCAGAGTGACACTAAAGAGAGACTTGTAGATAGTGACTGTTAATGGTTTGTTTATAAAACCTAAAAGGTCCAAGAAAAAAACAAGAGTGAGTTTTTTATAAAAAAAAAGAAACTTTACTATCATAATTATGCTCATGACTCATAATTTTATGTAAAGCAAAAAAATCCCCAATAAAGAAGTTACCACTACTAAATATGTATCTTACACTGACATTATTTATTACTAGCAATATTTTTGGGTGTTAACATGATAACTATTAAATATAAAATCTAAACTACAAACAAATTAAATTTTCTGTAGAATAATTTTATATCAAATTAACATTTTTAACTATAATTTGCAATAAATTAATTATAAGTTACAAGAAAATGTTGTATAAAAAAAAAAAACTCCTCAGGTTCACAGATTTCAAATACTAATATCCTAATCAATAAGAGAAAAAAAAAAAATAGAAAAAGAATTAGGGCATAGAAAATATAATACATTTACTTAAAAGCAAAATAAAAAGAAATGATCATATTGCCAAGTTCTTAGCCCTCTTACACTTGATTTAAGTTTATTACTTTAAACTATGGAAATTCTAACAAACTATCAGTGTGATCCAAATATTTTCAAAGTTAAGCTCAACTAAGAAATTAGTGTGCAAATGAAATTAATATTAAGACATCAATGCTTACAATTAATAAGGAAAAAAACATAAAAGCATTTATATTCCTTCAATAAACATATACACTGTTATGGGAATTTTTTTTTTGTAAACATAGTTTAGTCAGACAAAAGGTATATTCCCAGGATTATCTGACTACTGCACTTTTAACTATAGCACAGCAGCGAGCAAGTTGATTAAGGTGCTTACAAGTTGTTTTGGAATTTCTGAGGACTTTCACGCTACAAAAATCTTAATAATATCACATTAAAATACAATAGAAATTGTCTTGTTTAAAAAAAAAAAGAAAAGAAAGAGGTGATTCAAAAATAAGCGATTTTAAGAAAAGTTCAAATGTTACGAAGCAGTTTTGTCATTAACCAGAATAAATGGAAAATTAAGCCTGGAAAAAAATTTGATAAACTGCAAAAATCTAGTAAGCTTCTAAACATATGTTTTTATTAGTTAAAATCCCAAGTCACAATTATATAGCTAATCTGAAATGTTAAAGATCTGCAAGAATCTTAATAATCAGATAATTAAAAACTAACATTTGCATGCAGCAATTGAAACATGGTATCTTGGTTGGCAAAAGCAGACAAGACAGTTAGTAATCATAGACTTGAATATTGCCCAAACTCAATTTTCATATTTTCAGAAGAATTCTCATTTCAAAGGACAGACAGAGTGCCACCTTAAAAGTCTAAAAGTTATATCAATAAAATTATGCATGTTTACTTTATGCTATTACAACTCTCAAATGAACCCAAGCACATTGTTCTTCTTTTAGTCATATTTATGTTTAACAGGTCAACACGATCAAGCACGTGTAAACATGTTTAGTCACATTCAAAACAGTTTGGGATTTTGGTCTATGACCAGTTGATCACCCATTATATTTTGCACTGAAATCTTATTGAAATAAAACAATTTGAACACAAATGTGACAAGAGAAAAAAATAAATGCTTTCTTTTCTAACAACTTTTTTCAATTACATATAAAGAAATACAAGAGTTACTAACCTGTCTTATAATAGTTTTTACATTAGCAATAGGAATACCCTGGTAATTGGAACGGATAATTAGCTTCAGTAAGTTGTACCCTAAAACTTCAAAAACCATGCATACATCTGAATAGAAGTCAAGTATTAATTTTTTTCATATTTGTATTCTAACAATTTTACACTCATAATGAATACAATAAACATCCAATCTTTATTAAAACAACATTTTTAAACATCATGCTAATGAAAAACTGCCTAGTTAGAATACTGAGAATAAAACTTTTGTATGAACACTGTAAATTAGAGTTCATACAGACTTTACAAAACAAATTTCCAAAACCCATGCTCAAATTTCCAAAACTTTTAAATCCTGCCACACTTAACTAAACTTGGATTTTCTTGGCTTTTTTTTTTTTGTTCATCAAATATGCCCTCAAGTGGAAAGAAACAACAGTCTCAAGACTCGTGAAATGCGAGATTCACAATGGCCAACATGAAATGTAAAGAAATTCAATTCCAATAACCAAACTTTTAAATTTTTGTTAAATTTTTTTAATCAAGTAAATAATTTCATTGTGCATTTTTTACGAACTTCACATTTCAGGAATTTTACTTGACCATGATTAAAAAAACAAATATTTTCCCCAAATTTCCAATACTGAAAAATGTAGAGACCATTTTCTATGATTTTGTAGGACCTGTGTTAACCCTGTAATTTGCTAGATTTTAGATAGCATAAACTGTTATTATATATATTCAATTACTATATTAATGAACACACTGATGATGAGTATAATTAATCTCCAATTAAGTTTGATCTTATGAATAAGCTACCAAATCATTACATAACACACTAGTTGTGTTGCAAACCTCCCTGCATGCACAGCAACATCAGGAGAAGGAAGAAAAACTAAATAATCCCCTTAATAAAGATCAGAAAACAAAGCAGGGTAGACTCAAAAGCAATTGGTTGCATCTCCAAAACTTCACAAACATGTGTAACTACCTGCAAAAAAACAGGCAGAAGGTGACTGATCAGATGAGTCCTCAGGAGAGAAAGCTCTAGTGAAAAAAGCAAGAAACAAGGAGTCTAAATTCTCCCCAAAATATCCTGTTTCAGAATGAAAATTCAAATCAGCACCTCTCAGAGAGATACCCCAGGGCCGCATGAAGGACTCTATCTCACCCTGGATCAGGTCACAGACAGCTTCCACAGAGAGTGGCTACACCCCCCACCCACCCCCAACTGCTGACCACTACTAGATAACAAAGGGGGAATAGACGATATAACATCCTTCCTCCTCATAATTTCTAGGTCTGACTATTATACTATATGACAATGACATGATGTGGATAATGTCCTCTATTGTCAGAATTGCTGGTTCAGTTACCAAGAGCTATACAGTATTATGTCTAGCTTATTTACATGTGCCACTTCTATCTTACACGATCAAATTTTTGCCACAAGAATTGGTGAAAGATTGAGAGGTCAGTATCAATTTAAACTACACTTTACTACTAAAATGTTATTCAAATATAATACCTTATCTACATCATAATGTTTAGCTAGTCTCCAAAATGTAATGGAGATGTGACAAAACAAAACATAGAAACACCTAACACTCTTGAGGAAGAAATAGCAGCCTACTAAAAGTGGCTCTGTAGCATGGTAAATTGATATATTAGATTACCAGTAATTGTGGAGGGTGTTATTGGCAACTGAGCTCAAGAGCAAGGCCAGAGTGATGATGTGAAATTAAAAGTCATAACTGTGAGAACACACTCCATGGCACGTATAACAATCTAAAATGTAAAGGTGTGTCTTCAATATTCTCCAATACTTACTTATATCAGCATTCAAGGACTAAATCGATAAACATAGATGATGACTACCAATCACATGATAGGGTGGAAGATGTCCAGGATAAACACCAGATTTGAATATACAGTAATATTACAATATTTATTTGTTGTTTTGCATAAGGCTACACAATAGGCTGTCTCTGCTGTATCCAACACGAGTATCAAAACTCAGTTTTCAGTGTTACATGCCTTAATTCAAACTTACTGCAGGGCCACTGATGGGCAATATTACAATGAACTAAGGCCATCTCAAAAGGTATCACAGTAGTTCACTAAATGAGTAGTAATTAAATATACTCAAATATGAATTGTAATTACAAACCATAATTCAAAAGATTAGGCTTGCATGGAACGTATACCTAATAACTTAGGTGAGTGGTACATACCACACACAAGGTTACTGCTGCTTAAGACAAAGACTAAATGCTAAATAAGAGGAATTTAATGAAGAGTAATGACCTACCTTCAGTATAGGAAATTATACTATGTGCAGCCATTAGTGAAATAGACGATTTCTAGTCACAGAAGAAACATGAACATGGGGAAAGTATAGGGAAAATTCAATCTATCTTCTCTCAACATTTTCAATAAAAGAACTTTAGGTACTGCATGCAACCTAGGATACTGCCAGATGTCAGATTTGATATGAAAAAACCCAGAAATCAGGCACATAAGTGGTTCATGGGCAAATCTGGCCTGTGGTTTTGGGGCTGCTAAACATACCCCCACTCCCATAGGTTATACAGATTGTTTGGAAAAGAATTAAACTGGCAGGTAAGCATAAAAAAAAAGATCTGACCGATCCTCCTTCACTGAAGCAATGATGTTCAGAGTCTTCAGAAAAGACAGAGTCAGCACCATTCATGTAATTGTGAAAATCTATTACTCAACCATGAAGAAAATTTGCTAGTCTTGGCAATTCTAGTAAAACATAATGGACTAACAGAAAGTCAAAAGAAAAAATTGTGAACCTGCCTGTGGTGAATAAAATGTAGATAACTTCAATATGAATCAATGAATCTGAAAATATTAGACATTCAATTAACTTTCCTGAGAGATTTCAACTGCTGCTGAAGATTTTCATTTAGAAATGCAAAACCATTAAAAAATGTATTAGATAATCTGGAAATAAAATACCCATCCTTTATACTCAAAGGAGCCATCAAGATGTAAAATTTGAATCTAGGTCTACACCCTCTAATAATCAGTTGTTTGTCCAAAAGGTAAAAAACTTCTGGAACCAAAGATGTCATCTTGAATCATCAGAAGTGGATGAAAAAGCAACGTAGCAAAACTAAATAAGAAAAGAAATTGTATATTGCACTAGATGTTCATACTTTCCTCAAGAACTATAAAAATTCAAATATCTAAAAAAAAATGCCTTCCTCCAAATATTTATTTCTTTTGGTATTTCATTTTGACAGTTGCAATAATCAACAATTCTTCCTATAAAATGTAAACCAACTGCATAAACTGACAAAGATTTATTGGTGACCCAGGGCCTGATCTTTCAAAATGATGAGGTCAGGCTTGGTAACAAATTTTTATTAACAACATTGTTTAATTATATGAATTGTTTGAATATGAAAAACTTAAAAATAATATTCAATAAAAAAAATGAGGATTTGAATCATCAGAACATTTTGCCATCATCCACCATCACATTCACTATACCACACTAAGCTTACCTAATGTCTTAAAATGGGAAAAAAATTTCACATGAAAATATTCTCAGGAATAAAAAGAACATCTAAAGCAACTATAAAAAATCTCCAGGTCTGTGGTTTGTTCTAAACTGGAATGCAAGTTTGAGTATTTTGTTTTAAAGTTTTGTTAAACAATTACACTAAGTAAATGCTACAAAATAACAAAATATCAATTCAAAATATTTTTGAGTTTAACATTTTTAAATTGTTATAATCATTATTTTTATTCCAAGTCTAAAAACTCAAAACTTGAAATGTGTTTAACAGTCATAATAAGGTAAGGTTAGAAATCTGTGCAAAAATAGGGTACCATATGCAACTTACACACACAATAAGACTGGTGTTGCAAAATAGATCTGAACATAGCTGTAGAAGTGCAATCCACAAGAAAAAACGAACTTTCCAGATCAGTAACACTATGTAAAAAAAACAAAGTAGAATGTAGTCAAGCAAAGTCAAGAACAGAAGCATAAAAGAAAATGTAGAAACCCAAACATGAATTAAATTTTGATTAATATTCTGGAACATAAAAATATGTGCTGCTTGTAAAAAAACTGAACAGAAAAGGAATATGTAAAGAAAGTAGATGAATCTTCTAATGAAATAAACAATCTGCTTGATGCAGATATCCAGTGATATCAAATAAATATACTATATCGGAATACATCAATGATTCAGAGATGATAAATAATTTAAGACCCAACTGAATAGAAAAATAAATGATGAATATAAATGAATAAAGTCTATAGATGTATCATCCTACGGGAATCCATCTCAATGTTGTGACAGTCCATAAAAAAAAACCACAACAGTTCATCTCAGAACAACCTACAGTATCTTAAACAACTGGCCAAAATTTAAATCAAAAGGGCTGAATTACGTCCAACCTTCCACAGCAAAATGTTCAGAAAATAAAGCAGCACCTATTAGTCTATTAAAATCTGAGCTAATAGACATGAAAACCAGAAATATGAAAAATATTAAAGGCAGCTTCTGAAGTAGTAAGGTTACTGGTCAACTTCAGAAACACCAGAAAGAAAAATAAACGAATTCATTCAAGTAGGGATTAAACTACCCATCACAGTACTAGCAACAACAGTAAGTTTTAGAAACAAGTGTAGTCTACTAAAATACCAAGAGAAATTTACAACCATACAAGGTATTAGACTTAGTGACCACATTCATAGTGTACATGTAATACATCATAATATTTTAAAAGTTCAACATCACCTTTTCAAGGCATTTGATTATAATTTCAATATAACCTTAACAAGCATTATAGTAACCAAGTTATTGTAAATTACTCAAAGTTACAGACAGACAGTGTCAAATTTGCTAACTTAACAATCTTAAAAGCAATACAAACTGAAGTATGAAATTATTATGCAAACCTATGAATCACTTCCTCCAAAGCTAATTTATTTTGAGTCATAATTAAGTTTGTTTTCACTATTCAGGAAAATAAATGAATAAAAATTTAAACTATACTTGTAACAATATTTATACCATTAGATGATTATTTTAATTAACTCCAAATATTTGTTAGGTATGTTATTACATTTCTCATGTATTAACTAGCAGTGAAATCATATAAGCTAATACTAGTTATAAAGAATCACATGAACTTGGGTTATAAAAATAAAATAAAAAGACTGAAGAGGACACAAGAATGTGTCTAAAGTAGTAGCTCCAATATCAAGATTTCTGACAGTTTGTTCCATTTACTGTGTTGTTGTTCTCTAACTGGTATGGTTAGAATGTTGTAGATCTTAAGTGTTTTTCATGAAATCCAAAAAAAGGATACGAGTTCCATTTATTCCAGAAATTTTAAAATCATCTAAAAGCTGTACAACTTTCTCCCTATATGGATCCTCAGGGTCAGTATCTCTTATCTAGGATATAAATAAAATCATAATGTTTGACATATGAAGTGGCAAAATATGCAATATTTTGATATAAAACCAACACTAATTTAACAAGATTATCATGACTTGCAACTGTGTAATCTTATTACATTTCACAAGATGATTTTAAATTTAAGAAAAATATATTTAAAAAATTAAGTAAAATTTCTATTGCACTATTTACGTGGGTATTTTTTATATCTAATTTGCAGAAGACACTGCTAATGTATTTTATTTTATAGTCAGTGGTCAAATTAAGAATACTTGCTGAGAGGGTCTTTCTATAACAGCTTACAAAATAAATGTTAGAACAGTTTGTTAAAATCTGAGAGCATGGATTATTAATTTTATCATGATGAAGTTTGATATGGACAGTAAAGTAACTTGCTAATTATGAAATCATTATTCAAACTAATCATACAGAGCTAGAAAAGAAATATATACAGATCTGAGAATCCTGATTTCATCAAGAGCTGTATCTGTATAGTTGGAAGCACTCTTGACAACCTTCAAGGCTACAAACCTTTTGGCACTGGAGACATGAAAAAAGTATTAAATTAATAAAAAATAATCAAATCTGCACTCTAAACTAAGTCTAGTACTTTGATTAATAGCTTCAACTAATTAAGTATTCAGTGTTCACAGAAAAATACAATATTTGATAGCTATAATGTTCTTAACTTGTTAGTCGTTCTTCATGTTGATTGATAAGGAATGACAAATAAAGATGAATAAAAACTATAACCCAAGCACTTTCGAAAGGTCCACCTTTCGAAAGCGCTCGGGTTATAGAGTTTTTTTATTAATTTCTATCAAGACTTCTTGAACCTACGTGTTTTTCTAACATCATGACAAATAAAGATTTCACCTATATTATGTAGCATAATAAAGCTTCATTTTTAATCAACTACACTGATTTGCATACTTACTCTATAAAAGGGCTGCTTCATAATGGTAACCCAGAGATTTTCATTACCTGCTAACCACTATATACATCTTTTTCTATCTAAATCATGAAACCAGTATTAATTGTTAATGTTTTACACAGATACCTACTTTTAAGAGAGAAACTGAACTGAGTTTTTACGATATTCCTGAATAATTATTTCATTGAATCTTCCCAATTATGCTTTATAGCATTACATGCTGAGGTACCCATCCTTTGTCTGGGTTATGAACTTAAAAAAATGTGAAGATGGATGCTATGATAAACAACACAAATATCCTAACTTTCACACAATTTATTTTTAACATAACATATTATTACATTATTACCTTACCAAAAGTTTTGTATAAGCTTTAAGAACTCAATATGTACATACTTATAACATGGTATACACTGTGCGATGGTCAGTATGATTTTGTAGGAAGAGGTATCAACCAAAGCAGTGGCAGAAAAGGTGCTTTCTGTTATCCATTTTCAACACCCAGCTCTTAATGTCTTTTCACAGTGTTTCACATGATTAATTAGTTGATGGTCATTGGGTGCGGAAGTGTCTTACAAGCTGAATTTGAAAGGTAATGTGTCAAAGTAGGAAATGGGTATAACTCAAGAAACAGCTCTTCATATCAGCCATATGGTGGTTGATATTGTATTGCAATAGTGGTGGCAATTTTTTCATTGCATTCCTCCATAGAGAGTGCTAGTACACTCTCTGCGATTTACAAGACATTTTGGGAGAAGCACATCCAAAAGGAAGAGACAATGGTTGGATAGGGATCCAAGCCACACAATAATGTAATCTAAATCCCATAGAGTATATCAATGTGGGTGAGAGTAAAAGGAAGTGCTTCTAGGCGTAGAGTGGCTAGGGCACAGCAAGTCAACTGCATCCAAAACCCAGCCACCATGAACCAACATTCACACGGTGGTAGGATGAGGATCATACAGTTGTTAAGTCAACTACAATCCAAAACCCAACCACCGAGAACCAACATTCATGTGGGGGGTAGGAAAAAGAATCATACTGCAGGCAAGTCAACTACAAACCAAAACCCAACATCCATTTGGGGGTAGGAAAGAGGATCATACCATCTTCACCTTAAGTTCAGCAGACAAGAGGGAATCTCGTAACCCCGATCTATGAACGGGACACCTGATAGCAATGTGACAAGTTGTTTAGCTGATCCAGGAACCCGACATCCGGATGATCGGCATGGTAAAGATGTCTCTGTAATGTAAACTATCTCACTCAAAACCAATCTGACAGGAATTGCCCCCAGCGCAATAACAGTATAAGAAAATCATTGAGGGATAGTGTAAGAGGAAGAACCGTATTGATCTGTAACTTCCGCCACCGTGACCCACAACTGGGTAGAAGTAACAAGAGTATAATTGGATGAGGAAACAGAGACACCTATAATACATGTGTGAGGACTTATGTTCAGCTCTGAATCCAAAAGCCAGCCACTGGGAACCGACATCCAATCAAAGGGGTAAACTGCAATTTTGACTGCTCACTTCAAAGCTTCAACATCCCCTTGAATAGGCCTGTACAGAGATGGAGCATCAGATTGGAGGGCATCTTGTTATCTACACCAGCAGAACACCACCACCACCCTACTCTCAACTGAATGGTTTTATCATTATTTGTATCGTATATCATTATCACATTCAGGAGGATATCTCCATGGTCCACCACCCAGCAGCTTGGAACTGGAAAGTGGTAAGGACACCCATACTCCACAGAAAGAAAAAAGGGGAGAGAAAATGTGGTGGAGAGTTCAGAAGAATATCAACACTGGAGACAGTGCAACGGGTAACCATGAAAAGCCTATTTTGATTTATTCAATCAAAGGCATGGCAGGGATGGACAGCTATCTCCTTCTGCTTTACCCATGAAGTCCATGGGTGAGTACAGTCCAGAACGGGCATATTATTGAAGCAAATATATCGTGAGAAAAACCTACGAGCAATCTTGTTGAACACCCCATCTCAACATGGAAATTATAATTGTTGAGTCATCATGGCCTTACAGTGCAAATTTGACTACTTTAAGTATACCTGGACAGGCACCACTCGCCACAGAGCAATATCCACAAAGAGAAAAATGGACGTGTCCCTGAAAAATAAGAGGTATATATACAAAAAGGTATCTTACCCAGCCACAGTCTCACCAAAGAGTGAAAGAAGGTGGAAGACAGTACCCTGACGAGGAAGATACAGTGCTTGATGGAAGAAGTACCTCTAATGTACAATGAGGGCAAGATGCAGGTAAGAGGGAAAGTACCTAATCAGAATGAAGACACCAGGAATTGATTATGCGGAAAAGGGAGACAAGGAAGAAATGGCCAATTGAATCAAAAGCCAAATCCAAAGGGTAAGGGAGGAAGGAAAAAGTCACAAACAGAGGAGTGGTGCCAGGGAATGAAAAAACAGGAAAAAGAACTAACAGAAAGAAGCCTTAAAGGCAATGAAGCACCCCAGAGCAGGTACGGGAGATATAAGACCACCGGGACCTGTCTGGGATTAAAGGAGGAAGATAGAAGGAAATGAAAAGGATGAAAAGGAAGAACCTGCTCCACGAGCCGCCAAAGTGAAGGGTAGGGAAAAAATCGATGCAGAACAAAAAAGGACAGATTGAGCTGAAGCAGCTGAGAAAAACCAGATCTGTGTTGGCCAGGAAGGAGCAATCAGAAAGACCTGACACAGAATGATAAGGAAGAATGAAATCACCAGGGGAAGATGACAAAAAGGATGAGAGAATAAAGGTATAAACAGGTTCCAATCCTGTCTGAACGCGTCGACAACCAAGGCAAGTGGATGAGGAATCGGAAACAAAGACATACAGATATGAAACAAGCTCAAAGGACAAGGCACGAAACTAAAACCCCATCCCATGGTGAAGAAACTTAAGACAGTGCTATGAGGGATGAAAAATAAGAACGTGGGCATAAG